TGACTTTATCTACCCTGTTATGTACAAATAATTTTTATTATAGAGTTGCTTATGAACGCATTAAATTTGAATGAACTACAAGTTTTAGTAAATAATTTTAAGCAAGAAAAAGAAGAGAATAACGAAGAAAATTATATTGTTAAGTTTAATCAGCAAGATGGAAATATAAATTTGGCAGTTTTTGCTGGAGACAAGCCGATATATCAACTGCCAGAAAATTATAAGCCGGATAAAGGTGACATGAAAGCTGAGATATTGTGTACAGATGGTCACTGCAAAAAAACTTATGAGTATGATATAATAAGAGATTCATCACCTGGCAACAAGATAAAAATTGTGGAAAAATATGATAACCAATCTGATCATTTTTACGTTAATGCAATGTTTCATGACGATTATGGCAATATGATGGGTGGGTATGGAGCTGAATTGAGTTTTCGATACAACCAAGAGCCAGAATTTATAATACATGACATACATAACTTATTTGCTGTTTAATACATACATAACTTAATTTGCCGTTGAATGAAAAAATAAAGAGCTTCTTATTAGAAGCTCTTATGAAGCTGGTTTTTTATACGCTTGGTGAGCTAGGGGCTTGTATTTTCTTATGTGGTACTATAACTAATTCAGCTAATTTTTTAGCATCGTGCTTAAGTATTGTAACGTCATCTCTACTCATTATTACTTTTTTATGTTCTTTTTGAAAAAAATCTTGATGGAAATTTTTTAATGTTGTTTCCTCGCCTGCAATGTAGTATTCAGTAACTTGATACGTATATCCATTTTGATTATTCTCTACAGGGACAAGCCTAGCTTCTCTCAGTCCAGAATTACTTATCATTGCACAACCCAAAATGTGTTCTTCATTTAATGTGATATAATGTACTACAGTCTCTTTACCTTCGGCATCACGTTCTGTTTCGCTGTGGTACTGGACTAATTGATTTTTTGCTATAATAGAATATTTTTCTCGCAATTTACTATGAGTAATGTCTTCGGAGTTTGCATGCATTTTACAAATCGTATAAATGGCAGCGGCAGTTACTAATGTTGCAAAAATTAATCCCATGTAGATCCAAGCATTAAATTGAGGTCTCATGTGCTCCAACCCACGAACATTAAAAAATTGCATGCTCTTTGGTATTAAATTGTTTAATTTTGCTGGATCTGTAAACCGTGCAGCAAGCAAAATGCCGGTTGGTAGAGAGAGCATAAAGAATGCAGTAGATAGTCCGGTTGCCCTTAAAGAATAAGGTCCATATAGTAAGAATTTTTCTTTTGTTTTATAACTTATTAATTGCATATTTATATTACTTCAATAATTAACTATCATAAATATATCATGCGAAATTGGCATGTCAAAGACTTTAATAAAAAATTAACTAAAATTATTTATAATTTAGACCTTTAGCACTTTTTAGTATAATTCTTTATTATCAAGACTATTTACACCATAATCTTGCTAACTTTATCATTAGACCCCCTGCAAAACGAGGAAAAAAGTAGAAAAACAAAAAAAAGCGTATAAAATGAAAGTTTTAGTGAGAGAAAATGGCAATAAATTATGCAAAAGTGGCAAAAACCCCTTATATTTTCAGACAATTAACGGGTCTAAAAACAGAAGAATTTGAAAAAATCGTGGAAAAAGTGAGGCCGGAGTGGGAAAAAATGGAGGCAAAAAAGAAATGTCACGGAAGAAAATCGCACGTTGAAACACTAGAAGACAAAATATTATGCGTTCTCATTTATTATAGAACGTACATAACACATCCATTTTTGGGATTTTTATTCAATTTGCACAACTCAAATATCTGCCGATTACTGAAGAAAATGGAGCCATTGTTGGCAAAAAAAGTTACCATAAAAAAGGATAGAACCTTAACGCCCGAAAGGATTTTGAAGATTTTAGCAGATGTTACAGAACAGCCGATACAGCGACCAAAAGACAGCAAAAAACGTAAAAAAAGTTACTCTGGCAAAAAGAAAACAACGACCATAAAAACCGAAATTATAATCGAAGAAAGTGGGCAAATCTTGTCGGTTTCAAAGTCGCATCGAGGTCGAATGCACGATTTTCGCATAAGAAAACAGGAGAAAATGCTGCCAAGAGATAGTATAAAACACGCTGATTCCGGCTATCAAGGATGGCAAAAAGTTCAAAGTAATGTAGTAATTCCATATAAAAGGTACCGGAAAAAACCACTAACGGAAGAGCAAAAGGAGCATAATAGAAAGCTGGCGTCGTTCAGGATGCGAGTGGAAAATAAAATTCGAGAGATCAAAATATTCAAAATTATATCAAATGTTTACCGCAATTTTCAGAAGAAATACAACATGAGATTCAATATTATTGCTGGTATTGTGAACCTAAGGCACGGTTTTTAATAGCTTTCGGGTTGGGGGTTCCTTACCGGATTTTATCAGCAACTCTCTTTATGTTGTTTCGCAGGGGGTCTATTTCTTTTTTGCCTCCATTTTTTCCCACTCCGGCCTCACTTTTTCCACGATTTTTTCAAATTCTTCTGTTTTTAGACCCGTTAATTGTCTGAAAATATAAGGGGTTTTTGCCACTTTTGCATAATTTATTGCCATTTTCTCTCACTAAAACTCTCATTTTATACGCTTTTTTTTGTTTTTCTACTTTTTTCCTCGTTTTGCAGGGGGTCT